CTTGTGACATGCCTTGTACGTCATGAAAATCCGTAATTTTTGGCTCTCTGCCGTTTCATATACGTCACACTAGTTGACAAAATTTGCTGCTCCTGGTTGCCTGTATGATGCTACACATACGGTGTGATAATAACCTGGTCTTATTCTTGTAAGGATTTTTAGCCACAAGCACCGTGTGGATATGTATTATGGAATAAAAGACGCACATTATATCTTTACGGCTACAAAAGAAGTAGGCTGAGGATTACAAGGAAGCTTGCCAGAAAGTTAAAAGACTGGTCAGGAAGGGCAAAAGAGAAGTAATGGAAAAGTTGGTTACTGAGGCAGAGGAGGCGGCGGCTGCTAAAAGTGAACAAAGCAACGTATACAAGATTACAAGAATAATATGTGGCAAGTATCACGGTTGAATGAGTGGACCAATCAAAGATAAGACTGGCAAGCTGCTGACAACTGAGAAAGAAGAGGAAGCACACTAGACAGAACACTTCAGGGAAGTCGTAAACCAACCTCCACCTGAGGACACCCCAAACATACAGGAAGTTACCTTGGATCTGGATATCAGCTCTGACCCACCACAGAAACTCGAGATTGTAAAAGCTGTTAATTGCCTGAAATCAAGAAAATCTCCAGGAATGGACAACCTGAATGCTGAATTGTTTAAAGTAGACTAATAATTATTATTAATCGGATGTCGGATGCCGTGGACAGCTGCTTAAGAAAAGAACAGGCAGGATTCCGTAAAGAAAGAAGATGCACAGGTCAGATTTTTGCCCTCCGCAAAATAATAGTCAGTGCACGGAATGGCAGAGACAACTTTATGCCAACTTCGTTGATTTTGAAAAAGCGTTCGACAGTGTGCATGGAGAAAGTATGGTACATTCTACAATCTTATGGAATCCCTTGCAAGATAGTTGAGGTCATCAAGAGCTTCTACCAAAATTTCAAGTGCGTTGTTGGAAACAGTACTACTGCTTTTGAGGTAAAGACAGGAGTTAGACAAGGATGCAATATGTCAGCAATTCTGTTCAACCTTGCAATTGACTGGGTCATGAGGAAAACTATATGGAGCTTGATTTTCAATGGCGAGAATGTAATAGATCTGTCTTTTCTAATAATGTCCTCAAATTTGAACGTTCTGTGTCAAGTAGTTGTTTAGAATTTATCATAAATGTACCACTACCCCCTGTCTAAAGTAGCTTCGCACTGAGACCGACCATTTCCCCCTCACTCCCTCGGCAAATGTATGTGACCTACATACATCCTTGCATGATTATTTCAAGCCTGTTCATTGGTCACATGAAATAAGGCAATATCGGGCGTGCGTATCTGATTGTTTTTCTCTCTGTTTCCCTGTAACATCGCAATGGGGATATTCGGAGGCGTCGGGGTGTTCGCGCCTCAACAGGAAAATAAGGTTTTTGATTGTACGTCATATTAGATTGAATTGAATTATTTTTATAGTTGGCATGGTCTAAAGTCATCAAAGAAAGCTTTGCCACTATTTAGTCATGCTGCCAACATATTCTTAAAGAACCCATGTTGTGATACGATGCTATAATTATAAAATATAAATAAAATGCTCTCATCCCCACACCTCTTTTTCTCAAAATCATAATATATGCACCAAAGTTTTAATTATAACGAAATAAAACTATGAAATGGTAAGTAAATTTGACTGCAGAAATAATTTCTCCACCCAAAAACTCATTGGGTGGCCAAGTTTCTTTCTAACACTCCAATTAATTACTGATATGTCGTTGATTTTCTTACAGTCTGCTGTTATGTGGTCCACTGTTTTGGAGTTTTTTCCTCTGTGGGTCATCCATATTTTGCCGACCTTCATAACCCTTTAACTTTTTTAAATTCATGAACCGATTCTTTTAATTCAAAAAGCATATTAAAAAATTCTTAGAATTGAAAACTTTCTTAATTAAGTACCAAATAAAAATGGACTAAAGCGAAAAATTAATTTTTCATTAGCATTGCTATGATCATGTATAGGTTTAGTCTGATGCTGTATTGTTTTAGATGCTGAGTATAAAACTGGGACATTAAAAAAAAAGAATAAATAAAAATGAACTCTATGCTGGCCCTGCAGGAAATCGCGGACTTGCGGCCGCGTTTTTCGTAGAGTTCCGCAATAAACCCGCAATTTTTTGCAATTTTCGCAATTTCTTGCAATTTTAGGCAAAAATATATCAACGCTTTAATTTGAACAGAATTTTTAATACGAAATGGTGCGAGTACAGAGCCGATGGCGATAGGCCTACGTAAATTATGGTTTCGGCCCAGCTCTAGTCTACTGGGCGTACTCTAAAAGCTATAACCGGAACTTCAGGCCGGAATACATTATACAACACAAACTGAGACCAAAGATACTACACCTATAGATCTAATGTGTGTAAGTGTGCGCGTGTGCTAGAAAGTAGGTGTGTGCGAGTGTGTGGTGTGCATGTGTGCGCGCGTGTAAGGTGTACGTGTGTGTGTGTGTGTATGTTGTGTGTGTGTGTGTGCGCGCGCTTGTGTTAATATTGTTCGTAATCGTACATGATGCATGTGTCTACATACACGGCGGTAATCGGGCACCTAGTCTCAATATCTACGTACACGGTAACCGGAATGAAAATAAATCAATATTTGTCCTGTGCTGTCATTTGTTGTAAAAAAAAGAAAGTCATTCATGTACAAGTACATTACGCGTCTTGTCGGGCTCGCCATCATAACCGGCCAGTGAACCTGTGCTTTCGCATCACATTGTGAGTACCGGTTGGGGTCACCAAAGGTCATTCAAAGTTTGTCAGCTGCGAAGCATAAGGCTCCGGAATTGGGGGATTATTGATTTTTTTATTTAAAGGTACAGTTGGAAGAGGGCTTGGGTTGAAGGCAACACCGGATGACAAAAACTGAACTTGGAGTTCTGAACTGCCCGGTTACCGTGTACGTGACACCGGTTGCCGGTTACTGTGTACATAGACACTGAGGCCAGGTGCCCGGTTACCGTGTATGTATATTATGTAAAATGCCTTAAGCTGCATTCACACGGGAGTGGGCGCTATAGAAATGATCTGCATTATTATTACTATTGTTTATAAATTGAAAAAAAATGTTCTGTATTTTACAATTTGACTTCGTGTTAAAACAATACCATACTGGTTTTAAAAAAGAAAATATCTGAAATAGATCCAAACACAGATTACTGGTGTATCGAAGGTTTCTAGAGAAAAATAGAACAGGATCTAAATTGATTGGAGCATAAGCTAATTTTGCATTTAGAAGTTGTTTCGAAAATCCCCCATCAAATTTTTTGTTTTTATAGCTCATACTACACTTTTAGATCTTTACAAGAACCAAGTACCCGGTATGTACTAAATTTGGTCAAACTTTATGCCTTCATTTAAAAGTTATTACGAAAACCGAGGGTTCCGTTATTTTGTGTCACGCGGTATTTATTATATTTGGTTGATAACTTTATTGTTAACGTACTCGAGTGTTGTTACTAGGAAATCTTGTTAATAAAATTTGTATCGCGAGTCATGATTTTTTAAAAGGCCGTTTTGCTTTTATGCTACCGGTACTCAAATTGTCATGTTTTTAAACTAAAAATGTTAAGCCCGTATTAATGCACCAGGGATGGGAGGGTTGCAATTTTTTGCAATTTTTAGGCAGTTTACCTTGCAATTTTTTGCAATTTTTCTGTTTCAAAAATGCAATTTTCTGCGGGGCCAGTCTATGCCAATACATGATACACCTTATATATTTATTATTATCCAAACTTCTAAATGTCGTTTGAAACTAGTCAGCTATCTCTATTTCACTACTTCTTTTACTTATAGATCTAGTCGTGATTTTTATTGTATGAAATGGATGCATCTTGAAATATGTCTTATTGCAAATGGATGTTTAAGTTTAACCCAAGGCGTTATGGTCACAGTAAACCAAGCTTGTATGGGATCAGAACAAAAGGTCATTGACTGGGTAGCTTTTGAGCAGATGGAAACTGTTCATGGTACTGTATGAGAGCACATTCACAATGTTTCAAAATTCTGTCACACAGAAAAATTGGGTTTGGTCGTCATTGTTGATCAGCTACTGAGTAGCTTGTTGTGTGTAATTTGAGTCACTGTTGCTCTGACACAATTGTTAAATTGCATGATTATGTATAGTCTTTAGTTTATGCCTTAGGGAGAGGTTCAGTCAAGTAAATTAACCATAATCTGTCAACAGTAGATTTTACAGTGAAATAATTTTTCTATGCTGCTCTTGGCAGTCTCTGTCAGTCTTTTTTTTTTTCAGTCTGATCACTTGATTGTTGTCATTGTTCTTTTTCTCACCGACTGTACGTAGTTATCTTACTGAAGACAAGACTGAAACCTTTGGAAGGAGGAATTTCTTGTTGCCTTCGTAATGATTCTTCTGTAGGCAGGTTTAAAACTTTGCCCCCACGGATGCCGATAGGCGACGGTAAGAAGCCGTCCCTTTTCCCCACCGTATGCCGATTGGTGACGGTGTGATATAGCAACAAAAACGTTGCTGAAATGATCTCGTTTTTTGGCATACGGACATGTTAAAGTTAAATTTATTTTCTAAATTGTTTGTGTGGCCTTTGAGGTCGAAAATCAGTTTGCATATAACAATTGGAGTAAATTCTTTTGAAAAATGTCGAGGAGACCTAGTATGAGTGCTGCTTTATTTTTACGCCATGAAGAGTATTTGGGTGATGAATGAGCTAGATCTAATGTTCTCAGTTCCGAGTCTAATTCCTTTTTTGGTGAGCATGCGATTGTCACTTTTAATTTTCTCAGTATGCTGAAATTTTAATAATGGTTAGGGTATTTTTTTCGAGATACAAATGTAACTGATGTACGGCATCTGTATCCTGGTCCGTGGGGACAAGGGTTGCGCGTTCTGCGCGCTGCGTGGGTGGAAAGTTTTAACTCTTTATTTTGTATGTACAGTTTAGTAGACTGAATAATGATAACATCTTTTTTTTTTTTTTTCAGTGTTTTCAATCCTCATCATAGCATTGAAGTTGCTTGCCCGGAGTTAAGTTCATAATTCAAACCAGTTGAAAATGGCTTTGCAATTTGGTCCACAGTGGTAAGTTATGAATTTTATGGGGTTTTTTTTTCTCATTAACTGTGTGGGGAATAAGGAATTTAAAAAAAGGCTTTTCCATGTCTTGTGAAGATTTACTTTAGAAAATTGTAAATCATCTTTTTCTGATAAAGGCATTCAGTTCGTAGGACTTATAAATGTAGGAACATTATATATAAGTTGGAAAAAGTATACCCTTGCATAGTTGGTCCTGCTTGAATGGTCACCTGTCCAAGATAACCACTTGTACAAATGACCACTTCCCGCTTTACCTGGTTTGTTTTATTTTATAACATATATCATAATGGCGCTGTTCAAGACCTCCACCTGTCTAAGAGACATGCTTTTTCTCCTGGACAAGTCACAATGGATGGTGTCGGGGACAATAATTATGATAATTGTAATTATTGTGCAGACGTTGTATCCCTATGTAAATTGTTATTGTTTAAAAATTAGCTTACAGTAAGTACTGGTTGTAGCTGTAGTTCTTCATGATCTGCGATAACCTCTGTACTTTGTCTTTTTTGGAGTTTTTATTGACTTCTGTTTACTTTTAATATTACTTGTCCCACTGTTGTTTTCAGTCTGTGACGATAAAACATTTTGATAGAATGTTCAGTGTTTTAATTCGTCTCATCCTCTTGTCTTCCTACTGTTCAGGTTGCGAGACCTGTCTGATGCAGGGTCTGGGACCCCCACATGTAGTGTCAAGTTCAAGTTAGCAGACTATCGCTATGGAAGAGAAGAAATGTTATCCTTGTTCTCTGAGTCTAGCCCTCCCCCCGACCAGGTCCGGAAACACCTGACAATTTTCTCCAAAGATATCCAGAAACCAATGACTATGATGCCGTTGTCTGAAGATGAACAGGTTTGGTTTTCTATTTTTATCCTCGTTATATTTGAAAAAAGTATGTGCAAAAGGCTATTATTTATGGCCTAGTACCTCACAGGCAGATTTGGGATATAGTCTGTAATCTGTATCTTGAAAAGTAGAAAAAAATAGAGAAATCTCGCAAAAGATGTATATGGCAACTGGCCTAATGGATGAGAGGAAAAGTATTGTGTAGGCTTTGCTGGATATTAGTTCTTTAATCCCAGTTTAATTCCTGGATATCGGAGTGATTTGAAGTATTAGGAAGCATCTGAAATTTAGGGCCTAGTGCAGGCAGGATCTTTTTTTGTGTTTTGTAGTTGTTTGTGTGAAGGTTTCATTTTCAGTTATTTACAAGCTTTTTAGTCTTCCTGATTTATGAAATTTCTGAGAGAGATATATATATATATATAGCTTGTCATGTTCATGATTTGGTGAAAAATTTGTTGCCACTGATAATGTTTGTAAGGTATGACTTTATTATTTTTTTTGGTAGTCTTCCAGGGACAAGATTTTTGTATCTGGTGTAAGCAAGATTTGTTTTGACCCCCCCCCCAAAAAATTGAATTGGAACAGTGCTATTTCGTAAAACAATTTTAAAAAGTTTCCGCCATTATGTGATTCTTTCTTACAATCTGCTTCCCCTCCCCATTTTCCTCAGCGCCTTATCTCACAAGGATTTAACAGTACCGTGGTGTTGAGAGCGGCTGGCCGGCCCAGTGGCCCCCCACTCCGAGTCAGCCGGGGTGGGGGGACTGTGGACAGGGGCCGGGGGAGAGGTGAGTAGGATCCTTTGTTTTTTTTTTTGCTTTGTCATTCTTGGTTTGTCTTCTAAATATGTCCCTTGGGATGATCTTTCCAAAATTTTTTTGTCCCCATAAGTGGTTTTCTTTCCCCAGAGAGCACTCTTGGAGGGGGGATGGGAGGGTTAAAATTTTTCCTTTTGTTTGTACCATACTTTTTTTTGTACTTACAAGGGCACACATTTGTTGACTCATGTGTTGGTGTAATTGTCTGATATTGGAAGAAAAAGAATTTGATTCCTTGGTTGATTTACAACAAATTGTTTCAAAATTCATGGTCACGAGTGTCATTTTTTTCAGGAAAAGAATTGTTTTCATGATAGTGTTTTTATGGTTTAAAAGAATTTTGTTGTAAAGATTTTTTTGTGTAGCCTTCTCTACAGTATAAATTTTAAGCGTTGTAATGACAGTGACAGACATTAACTTTGATGGGTAGACTATTTCTTTGTGCTTTTTAAAAATAATCTGTTTTTATTCTCATTGCAACTGTTAAGTAGTATGTCTTTCAGGCTTACAATTTCCTTTTATATATTGATTTCTTTTAGTTCTATTGGAAAGGGAAATGTGTGAAAGTCATGGGATTGCTTTCTTTGTGTTGTATTGAAGAAGGATGCATTTGTTTGGAATTTGTTGTGTTGTTTAAAGTAATGAAAGCTCTATCTGCGGATGTTTCGTTGTCTTAGGACGTGGTCGTGGGGAGGGCTATAATCCACGAGCTATGGAGAATGGAGACATTGGGTACAGTCGCTCAACACAGGATGGTTGGGAACATGTGTAAGTTACTGGCTTGATTTTATTTGCAGTGCTTCGAATAGTTTCTTATTGTTGTACTTCATTTATGGTTTTGTTCGCAGATATGTGAACTTCGATAATGACTTGGACAAGTTGAGGTGGAATTGTTTTTGTATTGTCAGTGGTTGTTGTAAAACCCTGTATAGGCTTCTTATTTGCGACACATTCTCTCATATTTTGTGGGTTGTATAAACGTTGAAGGTTTTGAGTTAAGAATAGAATTGTTTATAATGCACATTTTTAAGAGTGTATCTTTACTGAAAGACGACCAATTGAGTACATTTTAGAATACAGTCGAACCTGCCTTAACGGAAACCTGTGTAAAACGGAAACCTGTCTTAATGGAATCTTCCCGCTCCCCCCTTGCTATATTCCTCTTTAATTACCTGTATAAAACGGAAACCTGTCCAACGCGGAAACGGAAAGAAAAATCCACTCCCTTCCGAGGGTTTCACCTGTCTAAGACGGAAAATGCTTTACCCGTTCAGCCCTGATTTGAAACAAAACTCGCAAGTTTGGTTCCGTCGGCTCTAAACTTAACGTCATGGCCATGCCGTTGGGCAAGGAAGGGGAGTAGGGGAGCAATTTGGGGGTAGATGTTACCCCATCATGTGAGCCCAGAGCGATGCAGATGGTCAGTATAGTGTGGGTATGAAATCTCACGACTGCCCGTCAGAGTGCTCGAGTAGCGAGCCACTACGAAAACTTTCCTGGGTAGCCAGAAGCCAGAGGTGTGAAATTAGATTGACCAATGCCTACCACCCTGATCGTACGGCCAGCTGAGAAAAGAGTTCCTCAAATCATTGTTACATGATGGCCGTGAGGGGTGGCATTGGTGGGTGGGACTAAGGGTGGAACCAAAGGAGATGTTCAAACGTTTCTGTGTTTAATAGGTCAAACAGTGGTCCTATGAAAGGCAAGCACTGGTGGTAATTGGATATGCAAGACTGACGCATGTCATTATCAGACAAGATAGCAGCTGAGAGGTGTGAAGTTTTAACCACTGCTTGCCGATCGGACAAGTGATCCTTGATCCCACCGGCTTCGCCTTTGAACCCCCCCCCCTAAATTCCCCTGTCTAAGAGGGAAAATGTCTAAGACGGAATTTTTTTCCCGCTCCCTTGCGATTCCGTCTTACACAGGTTTGACTGTACATCTAAGATCAAATGAATATTCTATTGATCTAAGTTTTCCTAATTTTTTGGCTTTTCAGTTGTCCATACTTACACTTATAATATAATGTTTGCCAGAGTGTTTTTGATTTGATTTTGAAATGTGTTCAGGTGTTCTTTCCATTTTTCAATTTTTGTAAAGTTTTGTTTTTGTGATTGTGGTACTTCTATTTTGGCATTGGGGATGCATACGCGACAGACTGTTAATGTGGAGGAAGAGGGTGAAAGCTTACAATATATCCGCCGTATTTATTAACCCTGTTATCTTTTCTGATTTCGTCAGTGGCAGGAAATTTGAGCGCAGTTTTTCAAGGGGTTACGAAGAAACGGGATCAACAAAACGAGAATTCTCCAGGTCATCCAGTGATAACTGGAGGGACAAGAGACATGAGGACGAGGAGGATGATGACGGTGCAAGCTGGAGGAACTCTCGATGGGGTGAGCCAGATATGCTGTTTTGTTGTTGATGTTGTGGTTTTTCATGAGAATTTCATGGTATGAAGAAAAATTGAATGCCGCGTCAGTGCTGAAAGAAGCCTGCATAGGGTTGCCACTAAAAGAAACAATTAAGAAGAGACAAATGTGTTCCTCACGGCGCACCGGCAGTGGAATTTTAGTTGCCGCGGGGGGTTCCCCGCCGGGCACCTTATCACGTCGGGGTCACGGGGGTC